CCTATCTTATCTAGATAGACATGCAGATACATTAATAAGTGCAAAAACCAGGCAAAGCCAAATAAAACAATAAAGGAAGTAAAAACCAGCAAAACAATAACAACAGCAGAAAGCAAGAACAAAATAACAATGAGAAAAAGAAAGCCTCTGACAAAAATGGAAAAGCCTATAAACAGATCAAGGCCTGTTTGTTGGCCTTTATGCGTGTTTTCCAGTCAAGTCTGATGGGGTGCCACATTCTGTCTCCCAAGTCTATTTTTGGTCTTCCCCAGGGGGCGTTCATCACTCTGCTCCCTCGCTGCTCTGCTGCATGCCCTCAGTGCCTTGTGATGGAGCCAGACCGTGCACTATTCCCGCACTGTGTCTCCAGTGCTGTCCCCCCGCAGCGTCAGTTCAGTGAGGGAGTCCCCTCATTTTCATCCTAGTCTCTCCCTCTCACCAGTGTGCCTGCTGCTCCGGTCCCCCCATGCAGGACACGCGTGGTCTCCCGTGGGAAACCCCCAGCTCCAGGAAGTGCCAGCAACCAAGAAAAGCTGCAGGGACTATAAAGAAGAAGTGACTGATGCGGGTTTCCTGGTGGCGGCTGGCCTTGAACTAGCTCAAGAAGAGAGGCAGGGCTTTAATGGGCAAAGCACAGGTCACAGCCAGAGTAGCAGTCTGGGAGCAGTCTGGGCCCCACTAAGGACAGCCCCAGGAACCCCTCTTTCCTGAGCACGCACTGGGTGCTGGGGCCACAGCAAGGGCCTGTCCCGCCTGTCTTAAAACTAAGTGGGAAAAAGAAGTGCGGTGCCCTGCACTGGGACCAAGGTGAATGAAGGTGGAGTAGAATGCCTGCCAGGAGAGCCTAACCCAGCGGGTCCCTGGCAGAGGAGGGCAGGGCACGGGGAAGGGAGCCAGTCTGTCCTGAGTGGGAGCCAGTCTGTCCTGAGTGGGGTCAGAAGTGGAATGATCACCGAGCCCCTGACCTGACAGTAAGACGGGAGCTGGCCCTGTGTCCCCATGGTAGCGGAGGGAGAGCTGTGGAAGGTCTCCCGCAGGATGCGGTTGCCATGCAGGGGATGGGCTGGAGGCAGGGACCAGAGAAGGAGGGAAGGGACCCTAAATGGAGCCCCTGAAG